AAAAGCTAACAGAGCAGACCAAGAATCACCAAGGAGGCTCGAAACAGTCTGAGCAGCTATTCTCACTGAGAAAATAACCACGATTTTGCTCCCGCGTTCAATAAATAACGTTCAGCATGATGGTTATTGCACGAGGTGCGTGCAATTCCATCCCTCGGGGCATTGGGAAGGTTTTTAAACCAACACCGAGCCTGTTTCGCCGTCTTTTCGCAAATCCGGTTTGGGAAGCAAACTCTTGCTGCTCTTGTTTTTTTCCCCGTCGGCGAAGCACTCATGGCCGCTCCAGTTCAACCAGACCCAGTTCAGTTACAAAATTTACAGCAACCTCAAGTTCCTGTCTCTCAGCCAGACCAACCACCTTCACCGCAAGACCAACAGCAAAACCAAGATAATCTTGCCCAGCTGCAGAACCAACCCAGGTTGATGCTCCGCCAAATGAGGTATCTTGTTTGTATCCCTTATTTCTTATTTGTTAGTTTTTACAATCGTGTATTTATCAGTAAAACTTGGCCCCGGGGCGGGCTATGTGTCATGTCGCCCAATGCATCAGTTTAGCCATGTGGCGGTCAAATTTCTGTGCTCTGGCGTTTTTGGTCGTGTGGCGTTTGGGAAGCAAACTCTTGCTGCGACCCTCCCTCCTCCACTTCGGCGACGTTCACTACTTCACATACCCTTCACCACTCAATGTCTCCGGAATCGCGTTTCCCATATCTTAATTCCCTATCCGGGACAATGAGTGGTCAGCCTCTCAGTGAAAATGTCTTACTATACGCCGATGTTCGCATGCACGAAACTTCAAATGCCCTTGATCCGGTAGCTGCTTTTGAATTCTACCTAAGCAAGATTCACCTAGAATGTGAGGCTCTTTTTTAGACTTCTGACAAGCATGTCACAAAGAGCAAGTCTAGCATTAACTACTGGTAACAAAAATGAGCCACTTGGCAAAAACACTATCAGTCAAATGACGGAAAGAATTTCATTTAAGGTATGAGAACTGGGTAAAGTGGATGTCATTTCCACAAAATTTATTTACACTGTATCCAATACACCTAAAATAGTACTTCACAATAAATATATACATAAGATTTCCTTTCAAAACTGCATGCCAAAAGTGTTAAATTTCACAGCTAAGGTGTCAAAAAAACGCAGGCAACCCAATGCTCGTTTTCATCAATTGGAAAATATGAAACATGACCTATGAAAATATATTGTGTAAAGAAAAAAAATTAGGCAGCTCGGAGCAAAATATTATTTTGGCGAGCTATAACTACCGTGGACACGGTTTTCGGTCGTAAAATTTTATCAAATTAGGCTTTTGCTCCGGGCTGCCTAGTATTTAATCTTTAAGGTCTTTTAAGCTTTGTACCAAATATAATGATAGTACGATAAATAGAAAAGAGTTTATCGAAGAACGCGTAAAGGAGAGTTGTAATTTGAAGCTTTGAAGTTGCTATACTTCTTCTATTTTGATCCAAACGAAAGACTTCGCCGCCATATTGCTTCTGACATCGAACTACGTCATTACTCACGATATTAAGTGGATTCAACCACGAAACCACGCTATAATTTTAGAGAAACTGCGACAGACTTTCTTCGAGTGTATTTTTGATATTTATTAGTATTTCTTATAGTAGTTATTGTTGTATGATGTCATAGCCTCGTTCCCATGAATAAAGCTAGTCTCGTTTAGCACATGGCGTCCGCTCGTACATGTAACATGGTGGCAGCGGTTTTTAACCCAAAAATCTAACCTCAAAACGATCTCTCCGTCCTCCTAAACATTGGTAATATCGGCGGTACATCCTAGAGAAGGAACAACCCATCCAAGAAGTTCAAGTCAAGGGAAACGGCGACCACAAGAGTCGATTTGCCATCAAGACGGACTCAAGATTCTTCAGTTGACAAGTGAACAACCAAGATTTACATCCAAGCTTTTCAAGCCCTCAAGACTCAAGACGAACTTATATACCTCCAGAAGGATACAAGTAAACATAGACTGTAGTACTTTCACTGTTAGAACAATTTAGTTTTAGTTTTAACTTAGTTATATACAGTGTTTGAACGTTTGAAATACGTTTTACCGCCGAGTAAATTTACCTCGCGAGTCGCGCGAGGACTAGGGCTAGCCACAGGAAGCCCAACGATAGAAAAAAACTGACAATATTAGCATTTCTCAACTATTTTTAGAAATTAATAGTGAATTTTCTTGTTATATAAACATATTATTGTTAGCTATATCATATATATCTGTAAATCATGGCTACATATCAGATTCTGCTCCATCACCTATGTCTGTTAAGGGAGACGTGGCGGAGAATTGGAAGGACTTTGAAAACTCGTGGGAGTACTACGTCATTGCAACCGACCTCAGGTCTAAAATGGAGGAAGACAACAGCAAAGAAATCATCGCAGGTACACTCTGCCAAAGAATCATGAATTCCCTGCCAAGCCTCTCTGCCGAGGACAAGAAAGACCCGACTAAGATCCTAGAGGAACTGAAAAAGCACTTCATACCCCAACGAAATGTCCTTTATGAGCGCTTCATCTTTAACTCCGCTTCTCAGAAACCAGGTGAAACAGTTGATGAATTCGTGATACGCCTAAGACAACTAGCTAACTCGTGTGAGTTCGGAACACTCAAGGACTCTCTCATACGAGAYAGAATAGTGATTGKTACAAGCGAYGAAGGGGRCCGAGAACGTCTCCTGAKGGAAAGACCTGTACCCAACCTATCGAAGGTCATCGACAGTCTACGTGCGTGTGAAATATCGAGGACGCACAAACTTGTCATGACTAAAAAAGATCCAGACACCGTCAACTACACGGCAGAGAGAAGACGCCCCTCGAACCAGCCTAAGAGACCCAAGAACGGAGGCAAACCTACCGACCGTAAGAAGCCGTTTACACCAAAACCAAAGCAACAGCCATCAACAGGCAACTGCAGGTGGTGCGGACGAAAGACAGACCACCCTCGTAAAGACTGTCCAGCCAAAGATGCGAAGTGTCGCCTGTGCAGTAAAAAAGGTCACTTCGCCATCGCCTGTCTGTCAACAAATCACGTCAACGAAGTAGGAAATGATGACTACGTTGAAAGCACCTACATGATGGGAGAAGTTAGCGGTAACAGAGATGAATTCTGGTCTTCAGAGGTGAAAGTCAACGAAAAACTCTGTGATTTCAAGCTTGACAGTGGCTCAAAGGTCACAGTTGTTGGCGATCAAACTCCTTGGGTCAAGGGGCTCCGTCTCGATCCTATAAAGAGCGAGTTCCGAGGCCCAGGAAATGTAAAACTGTCTCACCTTTTCAAAKGTCAGATTACAAATGCAACTSTARAAGTCGGCGGAAAGAGGCACAACGAGAATGTGTACGTCATGACAAACCAATCAAGTAACTTACTGTCAAAATCAGCGATACAAGCACTCCAGTTGCCCATCCCTGCCCCAGAGGTACACAACGTCGAAAAGGTGCCAGACTTCAGAGCAGAATACCCGAAGCTCTTCAAAAGCCTGGGATTGATGAAAGAAAGCTACACCATCCCACTCAAGGAAGACGCAGTTCCTGTCTGTTTGTACACACCCCGGCGTGTGCCTCATCCTCTCCTACAAAAAGTGAAGGAGAAACTTGAAAACATGGTACGAGATAAAGTCATCTCACCTGTGACAGAACCTACCGACTGGTGTTCCGGCATGGTCGTTGCCCCTAAAAGGAACGGAGACGTGAGGGTGTGCGTGGATCTAACGAACCTCAACAAASCAGTCAAGAGGRAAATCCACCCTATGGCAAGTGTCGATGAAAACCTAGCCAAGATTAGAGGCAGCAAACTGTTTTCTAAGCTCGACGCCAACTCTGGATTTTGGCAGATCCCTTTAGCAGAAGAGTCCCGTCTGCTAACCACGTTTGTGACGCCCTTCGGGAGGTACTGCTTTAACCGCCTCCCATTTGGGATCAGCTCTGCACCGGAGGTCTTCCAACGCACAATGTCTTCAGTGCTGGAGGGACTTGAAGGGGTCATCTGCCACATGGACGATACCCTCATTCACGGCCAAACCCAGGAAGTACATGATGTCCGCGTCCGGCAAGTCCTAGACCGACTACAAAAAGCAGGCATCACGCTAAACGACAAGTGTGAGTTCTCCAAACGAAAGATGAAGTTCYTGGGCCACGTGATATCAGAGAATGGCGTTGAGGCAGATCCAGATAAGACAAAGGCGATTAGAGAGTTTCCACGGCCTACAAACGTGAAAGATCTTCAGAGGTTCAACGGTATGGTCAACCAACTAGCCAAGTTCGTCCCAGAGTTGGCGACGATCAACGAGCCACTACGTCAGCTACTGAGAAAGGACCATGCATTCCTGTGGGATCAACCACAAGAACAGGCCTTCCAAGAGATCAGGCAGAAGCTAACCTCACCTGATGTGTTAGCCCACTACGATCCAAGCAAACAAAGTGTTGTCGCTGCAGATGCGTGCCAAGACGGTCTAGGGGCTGTCTTGCTACAAACTGACACCTCTGGTCTTCGCCGCCCGATAGCCTTTGCCTCTCGCTCTCTCAATGACACCGAAAAACGCTACGCCGTCATTGAAAAGGAGGCTCTGGCAGCAACATGGGCGTGCGAGAAATTCAACGACTAYGTCCTGGGCACTGAGTTCACCCTGGAAACAGACCACCGACCACTCGTCCCTCTACTGTCAAGCACAGATCTTTCCAAGCTACCTCCAAGAATCCTACGCTTTCGCCTACGTATGGCAAGATATACACCGGAGGTAAAGTACGTACAAGGAGTACATCAATGCACAGCCGACGCCTTGTCAAGAGCGCCAACCAGTGAGCCAGACCAAAAAGACCTACCGCTCATCGAAGAGGTGGAGGAAATCAGCGAAGCCACTATTGGATCTCTCCCAGCTACTCAGCAACGTCTCAACGAGATCAAGGCAGCACAAGACGGAGGTGCAGTCTGCACATAAATAAAGACTTACTGCCAGGAGGGATGGCCCGACATCATGCCCTCTCAACCACTTCTGAAGCCGTACTGGGAGAACAAACAGCACCTTACTGTATCGAAAGGACTGCTCATGTACAACAGCAGGATCGTAATCCCGCAATCGCTCCAGCTGGGAATGTTGGAGGTTATCCACGAGGGCCACCTCGGCATCACTAAATGCCAAGGTCGAGCCGGTTGCTCAGTCTGGTGGCCACTTATCACCAGACAGATAGAGGACATGGTAAACCGGTGGCACATCTGCTCCAGACTGCGCCCTGAAAGAAAAGAGCCTCTTATACCACTTTCATATCCCAGCATGCCTTGGACACGTCTTGGCAAAGACTTGTTCGAGATTGACAAGAAAATGTACATTGTTGTAGTAGACTACAACAGCCGATGGTTCGAAGTCAAGCAGCTCCATACAGTCACAGCCAGCGCAGCAATATGCGTGATGTGTGAACTCTTCGCAATGCATGGCATACCGGAAACTGTGGTCTCGGACAATGGGCCGCAATATGCCTGCCAGGAGTTTAAAGAATTCGCCAAGGACTGGGGATTCCAGCACGTCACGTCCTCACCGATCTATCCCCAAGCTAATGGTGAGGTCGAAAGAGCTGTGCAAACAGCCAAGAACATACTCAGAAAAACGCCAATCCATACCTAGGACTGCTAGCATATCGGACAGCACCCCTGCGGAATGGGCTAACCCCAGCAGAACTGCTTATGAGCCGGCGGCTTAGAACAAGATTACCAGCGATACCTGAAACCCTGGTACCCCACGAAGTTGACCGCAGGGAAGTTGAAAGAAAAGAAGAAGCATATAGAGAAAAGTATGCCAAGAACTACAACCAACACCACAAAGTTGTATCTCTCCCAGCCCTCGAAGAAGGAGACCGAGTCTATATCCGTGACCAACGGAAGTACGGAGAGGTACAAGGGAGACACTGCAACCCGAGGTCATACAAGCTGCTAACGGATACTGGCGCCAGAATCAGACGAAACCGAAGTTCACTGATCCACACCGGAGAGAACGCAGCCGCGATGGATGAAGGATGCACAGCAACTACCACCACCGGCCAAGATCCATCAACCCCTCCGCAAGAGCACTTACCTCCAATTGTCACGTCTCCCACCACGGATGAAGCTCCTGTCCGTCGGTCTAGCAGACATGTTAAGCCTTACCAACAGCCTGACATGCATTACTACTAGGAGCTAGTCTATATTTTGATAGCACCGAAGACATTTGTTCAAGTTTATATTAATGTGATTTATACACCAGGTAATCGAGTAGTAACCGTATCTTTGTAACTAGGATAATTAGTTAACTTTAGCTAGCAACCCACATTCAACTCGAAGGGGAGATGTTGTATGTCATAGCCTCGTTCCCATAAATAAAGCTAGTCTCGTTTAGCACATGGCGTCCGCTCGTACATGTAACAGTTATAGTTAGTATATGTATATTTAGCTTGTCAACGAGTGCAATAAATATGTGCACTAGAGAAAAAAGCCTGAAAGGTCATGAAGTTCGTGGTATTGGAAAACGCTTCGCGTCTTACTTTCTCTAACCAAGAACTCCAAGAACGTGGTTGTCAAGTGGAAAAGTCTGGCAAGGGTTTCAAACGGACTTCAATAAATGGAAAAGTTTTTTATTCGTCGAAGGCGGTGAGGGCATACTTACTTACCAAGAAACAAGTGAAAGCGACTATGATCCAACTGCAGCCAGTGCCAGTGACGACTGCTTTAGCTCCCCTGAAAAATCCAAAGTACCTCTGCCATACGAAGCTTATAGAAATGGAAAAAGGTAAGAACTAATAATCTATTATACAACATTCCTGATTTCTGCCAAAAAAAAAAAAAAAAAAAATCGAGTTGTAATTGAAAGGTTTAATTCTATACTAGGACCCGATTTCATATTAAAACAGGACAGCCGATACAGCTTCCGAATAAGTGTCATATCGCCATGACTGTATTTTGAGGCACAAACTCTGATCTGTTGTTCTAATTGTGATTGATCTTCTTTTGTAACAGATTTTTGAAATATACTTTGAGTTACAACCTCTGATCTGTTGTTCATATTACATGCATATTACATATTCCTTTTTATGCGTGTCATAGTATTCCTCCTCATAAACATTGATCGAAATTGATATCCTGATTAGTAAATAGATAGAATTACCTCTCACGCGGTTTTCACGGAGCACATGTAAGCTGATTATACAATACTACTGAATAAAGCATTTTTACCCACACAAGTAACTTCGACATGGCGTCAGAAGTGGGATGTCAAACATATTGATTCAAGTCCATCATATTCAAGCATCCTCAGCAAAAGAATCAAAGTTTCAACAGCAGATTTCGACATTTCAAGATCTATCATGGCTGATCGTT